AGTCGCTATATGTGCAAGAGTGATGCAGAATCGTATGCCTGTTTTGGTGCCTATTTGATAATTGTACCCTAACACTGGATAAGTTGACTAGGAGGGAAAAAATATTGGTCAATGGTAGCTATCTGTGCAAGAGTGATATAGAATCGTATATTCTGTTCTGTTTTCTATTTGCTTACCTTTTTGTGAAACTTAGATTACTGTGATGGATGTCAACTGGATGATGGCTCAGTAAGAGATAAGAATAGGGAGCGAAAAGGGCCCATAGGGATAACATTTCTTCAAGTCTTATTCCTTTAGCTACGTTTGTGTTATCTGGAAGGAAAGAAAAGGGAATGTTTTTGAGGGCATTGAGTCTAATTTTGATAAATTCAAAGACACATGGCTTCAGACTCTAGGTTCTTTTATTAAAGGTCATTTTCTTTATTCTTATAAGGATCTTGGGGACCTTATACATATTTTAATTAACATGTAAATTCGGTATATGAGTTATACGCCTTTGTTGCTTATGAATAGTTAATATTTTTCTTTCAAAAATAACAACACTAAAATCAAACAAAAAACTTAATCAAATAGATTTTTGAGAGATACTCTTTTTTAAAGATATTTTTTATAGAAGTAAGAGAAAATTGCTTCGGGAATTCAATTGGACTCAACCAAGTATCAATCACCACAAATGGAAACATTCGCTTCTTCTGTAGAAAAATAGAAATCATCAATATCCAGAAAATATAATATTCAATCATCTGTTTACATAATCAAATTATGTTAGTTAATATGACACACTTTTGAGTTCTACCAAAAGGTGGACTTCACTTCTATATGTACCTTTAATTAATGAAAACCAAATGGTCAAGTGAATTTAGTCTTAAAATTTGTATCATGACATAGCTTTCTTGATCTAGTGTTCAAATTATTTGTACCATTCCCCTTCCTAAAACGCCACCTTCTTCAATGTCTCTCAAAATTCCTACCCCTCTTTGGTGTCTCTAACGTAAGAATCTATTTTATGGAGACCCTAGATTTCTCTAGCTTCTTAAATGGAAATCTCTGTTCTTACAAGTCTTCCAAGGCTGTAGTGTACTTGACCACATAGATGCGTCAAACATATCATCCAATAGCCATCACTGATTAAGCAGGAAATGCCCAGTCAAACTTGAAGCTCCAGCAGCAGCAAGTCGAGTCCCTTGTTCTCCTCTTTTTGATCCAAGCTATTCTCCTCCAACATCCTATGAAGCCTCCTAAAAACCAAATCAAACCTTAACCACTCCCCAAGCTTGGCAAGAGATTGAAAAACGTTTTCATGATCAAGCACATGCTGGGTTACAACGCCTCAATTCTCTGCTGTCAAGAATGATATTTCTACCTCAAAAAACTCAAAATAGTGGTTCCGTTGTCACCCCTGGTTGCTATTTATAGACAGATTTTTATGCTGCAAATTTCTGAGGTCTTACCTATTGACCATGAAAATGTGATTATTAGTTTAAGCTCCCAAGAACCTCTACCCTATTTCCTTGACCTGTGGTCAGGCCTATAATCTCAGAGAAGTAAGACTTGCTAAACACCAAATACCCTCCCTTACCTCTGCCCCTACAGTGGCTTCCTTCGCTTCCTCTACCTAGCAAAACCAATTTTACAATTTCGACTGTCCGTACTCAAAATCCATTCCATTTCCAAATTCTCTCACCAACAAAACGCAGTATACGACTCAACAAAATAAACAACCGATTGAAAAATCCAGAAAATACAGAAGCATCAAGATTATTCTCTTTCAAGCAGGCGTACATCAAACCAAAACCGATATTCAAATGAATACTCACCTGAAAAACTGTACTCCACAAGGAACTCAAAATTTTCCCACTAAATTCGAAATTCTGCCGGAAAGCGAAGTCTCCAAGTCGCAGTAGAAAAGTAAATCCTTAATCTAAAATCGCTTTGCCCTAATCCAAAAGATTTCTGGGATGTTCTGGATTTCTTCTGTGGAGGAAGCACCCAATTTTTTTAGTTTTTGAATATTTTATTCATATTTTATATTAAATCGAAAAAGATGGTGACACAGGAGGAGACACGTGGCGAGCAGATCAATGCTGGCGAGCGGTAGATATCAGAATTCGTGGACGAGAGAAGGGGATGAGATCCGATCAGTTTCTGAGGCAGGATTGGTCCACGTAATCACAGGTTCTGGCAGGTCGACACGCGTCCCAGGACCACTTGGTAACGAATATTCGTGGCGTGCACGCGGTCTGGTGTAGTGACGTGGGATTTGTTCTCGCGTGAATTTTTTATTGTGGGGTCCGAATCATCTCCGCCTGCCTCTTTTCTTAATGTTGTTTTTTTTTAATAGAATTAATTAATAGAGTGCGTAATCTGATATTAATCTTCATGTTAAACAAAATTAATTATCTTCATTGGGTTATAAAAAAAAAAAAAAAACAGCACAAGTTTCGAATAACATAAAATTACATTACAAACGTATAATTAAGAGTGGTCATATTTTGGATCGAACAATTTAATCCTAAGTCCAAGCAACATAAAAATAATAATAAAATAAAATAATTTATTTTAGTCACATGTTTGGTAAGATTTATATTGAAATTAAAATTAATTAAATACATGTACATGATGCGACTTCATCATGGATATATCATACATCTATATAATGCGTATCACAGTCTACATTAGGTGGGGGTGTAGTTGAAGGCAATTCAAAATTTACGTACAACATATTCAGGTTTTCTGGCTAAATAAATCTTAAAATTGATAATCTAATTTTATAATTTTGAGAAATACTAATTAAGTGCTCTAAATTAAATTAGACAGATTTTGTGTAAACGACATCGATTAATTTTAAATTTTTATTAAAAAGTAATATTAACATTTTAACAAATCAAATTGTTCATACAACTCATTTGAGCTAATTATTGTTCCTGCAAATCAATTATATTTCTGTTATTTTTCATTCAATGCGTTTCGGGTTTCTCGAAGTCATGCATTGCCGCTGAACTCTTAATCACGCAAAACAGAGAGGTAAACAAGAAGACAATGTCGACTCTTACGGTGCCTGATCAGCTTCCTCGTGTCGCCGAGGACTGTGAGCGCCTCAAGGAAGCTTTTGACGATATATATATATATATATATGTATGTATCTCTAAACCGATCTCTGTCTTCCTGTTTATCCATGTGCATGTGTACTTGCACAGATACATGTGTGTTTTTAAGTGTGTATTTGCGTTGAGTGCTGCTGTTCATATCATGTTGTGATCTAATGCATAAAATATACAATCTCCATAACACTATCGGGTTACGT